AGCAGTTCTCAACAGAGGCCAGCTTGCGTATGCTATCAACACTTTTCAACAAATCAATCGCCGAAAATAGGGCAATCAGATAATAGCTGGAATCACCGCTTGTCAACAGTTGTTTTGGTAGTAGCTCCCACATGTACCATGCCTCCACTTCACATCCAATAGTTGATGTTCGTGCTAATAAATACACTAGCCATCTGACTAACTCTGAAATTATTATTTCCTTTATTGACCATCCCGTGTTTCATGGTATTCATTCATCCTAGCGCATTCTTGACGCAAATTTGGCTGACAATGAGAGTAACTGTTAAAAAGATTCATTCGGCAGTTCCAATAATGGCGACAACACGAAATTTTGATTGAATATTTCACGATTATAGGTACATTATTACTAATTTTGAAGAATATCTCAGGTTAAACTTTCGGATGAGAGAACATTATCGTGATCAATATTGAATCACAGAATCAGCACTTTCGTAAACTGAGGGAATTCTCTGTGCGGAAACGTATATATTACCTAGTAAGCATTATCCCAAGGAAGTGGACTTTCCTTTTGAAGCTATTATCCTATGTGAGGATTTTTCTTACTTGTGCACCTCCTAGCCAAGACGTCTACTTTCTCATGAATATATGATTTTGGTTGAATATTCTCTGAATATTTCGATGAGGGGATAAAACGACATCATGAAATCGTTACTTACCATCGGCTGGTGGTAAATTCTTGACTTTTGAAACATCGCTAATAGTCGACATATTATCTGCATGTTTGACATCCGGAGTTGAGCAATTGGAATTGACCGATGACGGATACGGACCAATAGCCAGATAAATGACACGTAGTAAATTGTCGAGTTTTTTGAGAGGAGAATAATGATGTTGCATTTTACGCATACAAATTTTGATGGAATCCATCTTCTGCGCTGATGGAGTGATGAACTGAAGCGAAAATATCAGCTATTAATTCATTATGGATCGATCGAATACGTGACCAAAATGAGGTATTAGGCAGTTTCATTTGAAAGCAATCAAATAACGACGATATAAGAAGCAATGAGAATCGAATCGAGTGTGAACCTTGTAGTTGACTCCGAAACCGATTTGTTCAGGTGACAACGTCCTCACGTAGGCCAGATTCTCTGACAGCAACTGCAGTGAGCCATTCTTGGAATGCTCACGCACCATTAAATGATATAAGTGTGGCTTAACAGGACCTGCAATTACTTCATTGATTGGATAAAAGGGGCACCAGTGCGATGATGCGAAAACAAGCATTTCCCCATTTCCAAATATGAGTTCAAGGATTGAAATAATTGGCTGCTTACTGATCAAAATTATCGAA